CATAACGTACGGCTGGAGCTTGAACTCGCGGCGTGCGAGTGCGAGTTCAGAGATGGATGGACGGTACTGGGAGGCTTTGAGTATTGCGATGTGAATCGTTTCTTTGGCATTGACGAGGTTGAATATGAAGTTGGAATTGAGAATTCTTGGGTCTTGGACCGTAACTAAGAATGTACTCCGTATGTGGGGGTGGCGAAAGTGGAGTGGAGAGGGAATCAAAGTTACTGTGGGAATGATGGACTCGAGCTTCGGGTTCCCGGTTCTGGCGGTCCCGGCGGCCGCATCTTAAGCATTTGCGTATGATTTTCCCGCCTTAAGACTTGACAACCACGCAAATTCATAACCACGAATATTCAGATATCATCGACACAAGAAGCCCGTGCCTTGGAAGAGCGAGGCATATGTGTTGAGATACAGAAGGACATGTTCGTCGAAGTCACGGTGAGCAGAGACGGGGTATACAAATAGCGGGGTAGAGCAATCCAGCCCCTGAACTTAGCGAGCTTGCTGTCCCAAGCCTCGCTTAGTCGCTTTATCGAACTCGACCATAATAGGGAGACCTTGCCATAACATCGACCGTTTGCTTCCCATTTCCAAAGCCATAACACACTCAAGTGACACTCAGTCTTAGCAGCAATATCAAATGACGTTTATAACGAGAAAAAATAACGTAAGAGAATTCTTTCTCCCTCTCCCTCCCTTTAAATAAGACGTGAAATTCCTACCGGATTAGAGTCCTAAGACACTAGGCTATTATATCCATTATATTATGCTCTCTCTCGCGTTCTTGGAATCTACGAAATAAAATCCTCTTGATACCGAGGAGAGGATAAGAAAACTATATATTCACAACTAGACTACGAGCGAAACCGCAGCCATTTATAGCTATTTATTCTCCCCCTTCCCCTTTCATTTACACTTTCGCACGCTAGTTACAAGTGCAACTTGCCCCCGTACTTATATATGCATGTGCACCTCCTGATCCCAGCTACGCCTATGATCGTGGTGAGTTTGAAGTGCCCGCACTGCCGGCACCCAGGGTCATTGGGGTCGCTGTTGTGGTGCTTGCATACTTTCGAATGTTAGTACCGCTGTTTCGTATATCTGACATCTGAATTGAAGAAAAGAAGGGAAGAGAGAGAGAGTGAGAGAAAGAGGTCTGGGGCTGAGAGAGGAGGATTGAGGAACGCACTGCAGCAGACCCATTCGGTTCTCATCTTAGGATTGTCTGGTTTGGAGCTGTTCATTTCAGTTCTATTATTCATTAACATTTGAGACGTTTGTTTGTTTGTAGATGTGGGCGTAACGGTTGGTCTTGCGTGGGTGATCGTATGGCTCGACGAGTATGGCTTGTAATATTAGCTTGGGAATGTAGAAAGTGGTTTAAATTCGGGATTGTGGATATTTTGGAGATTCTGGATCTGGTATGAAGTAACAAGTATAGACAAGTCGCGGGATCAAATAGACCATCCCTCTCCAGTGCCGCCCCCGGCCGTTATCAGACTTCTTCGTGAATCGCCGCTCATGATTCGAAGTGTACAGCCCTCGGTGCTGTGAATATTTGCCCCATTTGACTCTCAGCTCGACGTTCATCGCCCAGACAGAATTTCAACTTCCGAGAAGAAAATAGGTAGCATCTGATCAAAAAGTGGCCCTCTGAATAGACAATATTTACTTACCGAGCTGATCATGCTGGCGATGATTTCAGGTATCCCCAGGTAGCGAACCAGACAGACCCCGGAAGACAGCCAGAATGTCCGAAACCGGGGACACTACAAAGTTTTACATTTAAAAACCTGTTAAGCCCGGAAACATAAGGATTGGATTTGCGGATATCACTTCTGTGCCAGAGAGAAAACCTGAACTTTGTTTTAGCCGTGGATTCCCGCTCTTATTTGACAGCACCCGCCCCGTCCAAGATCCCTCTTCGTACCAAATACTGAGCATTCTCCCCCTTGTAGGCTGTTCCCATAATAATGCCCAACTCTGCAATGGACATCTATAGACGCTGGTGAGATGCTGGAGTATGCTGGTTTGGGTAGAGTCGTTGTTCAAGCCAGCAGTTAGTTCGCGCAAACCAAGAGACTTGGCCTAGCGTCCCCAGGAAGCTTATGACCGTGGGTATACTTGGCGTTTCCGAGGCAATCAAGACGTCTGATGGTATGGGAGGAAGTTTGTTTATTCATAAGAAACTCGAGTCACGAGATGAGCGAGGTGAGCGAGGTGAGCGAGGTGAGCAAGTCTACGTAGGTGATCGGCTGCGTGTTGAGTAACAAACATTGAATTCACCCGAGGTTTCAATCCCGGGGATCCATTATGCATAATTATGGATTCAAGATTACTGGTATAGTAATAAGTACTGACTTAGGTTCCATTACAGAGCCCTAGGCATCGGCTCGATAGCTTGCAAAGTAGCCATGCATGCGCTCCATTTGCAGGGGCGTAAATTCCGTGGTACTAGCGTTCATATCAGCACACATTGTCTATAGCCTTGCCATGCAAGAACTTACCAGGTGTCATCCGAATAGTCCATGAAGTTATGGATTGGGTCCAAGCCCGGCTGGTCCGGGCAGCTATCCCTCCCAACCGGACATCCTGTACTCCCCGACAGCTGACCCGGGGTATCGAGGATGCCATCTGCGCCAGTGGCGCATCCGCCTTGGAAAGTGTGCAGCAGGCCAAACCAATGCCCTACCTCGTGCACCGTCGTGTGACCCTGCCACTTGGGATCGTCTCCGCCGGGCATGGTCTTCGCGTGGATCTGACACCCGTCGCGGTAGAAGAACTCGTCTCCCGGCGTGACGATTGATGGGAGCCGACACATGCCCATGAGCCCGGAAGGGAGGTCAGTGTAGAAATAGACGTTGAGGCTGGCGTAGCTGCCCTGGCGCGTGCGCTGCATCCAGGCGAGCCACTGGTCAAAGAGGTCATCGCTCATGGAGGCATCTGGCAGGTAGAAGCCGGTGCCGATGAGATCGTCGACTACGCGCGAGGTGTTTCGGAGGGAGAGATTGATACCGTAGGGCAGGTAGCTGTCTTTTAGCACTGTGAACTGGTCGGCTACACGCTGCTCGGTGATTTTGGTGGCGTTGACGACGGTGCTCGCGATGTGAAAGTACACATCCACGCTGAGATTCTGGGCTTGTCGGGGGAAGACGCCGTTGTTGACGCTGCGCTTCAGTGGATCAAAGGCAAGGAACTCGGGGGACGGGTCTGGAGTTAAACATTTGGCAGGGCTCTCGGAGGCGTAGGAGAGGCCGAGGCACGCCCCTATGACCAGAACCAAATTAACCACCTTCATAGTCCAATGTCGACAAGGGAACGCACAATCCTCCAGCAACTGATTCCTGTCAAGCTGGCTGGCCGTCCTTTATGTATTATCTGGTCGTTTGCGATAGTCATTATTTATTGCGCGAGTAATTTGCCGGCTTGGCACCTGATTAAAGGTTGTAAGCGAAGCCCAGCAAGGAAGGTGCCAAGCTTCGTTATAGGGTTTGGCTTCGTATTAACACTTAAGCTTTACATGGCCTTGGCCATCGTCATGGCACAACACGAGAAGTATATTTTCAATTTTACGCATCTACAGAACGACCGAGGTCTAAGACAACAATTAGTCTTCGATGTTCGCAAAGAACTCCTCCAGAAAGAACAGAAAAACACGGTTGTTGCCGATGTGGGATCCCTCTGACCCTCCATGGATCTCATTATTGCTCTTGTATTTTATCTCGATATGGACCTATTCGGCGATGGTGACGGCGCTGGAAGAGTTCAGAGTGTAAGGTGAGCAGGAGCCTAAGCAGGCCAGGGGAAAGTTTATATCGGCAAGCTGACCACACTCATAATAAGTGCGAACTTGTCATTGCTTTTAGTATGGATCACGGGGTCATGCTAAATGAGCGTAATATGGGGGATTTACCTTCAATTTCTCAAATACATATGCTTCTGCATCCTTGATGTACTCATAGCCAGAGTTGGTGGCTGAGGAGGACCCCAACCATACAGCTGCAGCAGTGGCATGGTTCCTCCTGCTCAGCACTTGTGACTCCAGGGATAAACGGCAGCTCTGTGGGGGCTCAACCAGGTCAGTAAAGGTGCTGGAAAAATTAACATGAACGAAGACCTCGATCACCTAGATCTTTGATTACTAGGCGGCATTATGATTTTGCCCTGCTTGCTGAGGGGGGTTTTTTTGAAGGGGAAACAGGACCTCTAAGGGTTTCCAACAGCAATATAGCTAAGTCGACGCAATAGCTAGGGACTGGGTACTGGCAACGGGTATAAGAATGACCACAACCGCAAAATAATGCAGCTGCAGCAACTCTAACTAGTAGAAAGAGGTACTTACACGACAAAACAACTGCTTCTGTCATTTGAAACAGCGTTGATTCTCCACATAAGCGTGTCTTTGACCAGTTCTTCGCATGGCTGAAGCGTAGGTGTGCAGTAATACATATCCGCCGTGGTTCCTGGTTCGACAACAGCTCCGACATGCTCGAAGACCATTTATAATTCTTCGGCTGTGAAGAATTTAGATACAGACCTGTTTATATTAGCTTCCATTGCAATAAATATGCTGAGATGAAGAGGTCAGAAGTCTATTCGAGGTAAATGTAAACCAGCTCTTGCGTGTTGACAATCAAGTGAAGAGTGATGATAGAGAAACGAATGAGCGGCGAGGTGAGCCCTTTGATGAAAGAGTGTATAAGGGCAGTATCTTCCAACTTACTTAAAAACGTTGCCCAAGCAGTATCATCTATGTTCTCGTCCTCGTTCGTCCTCTTCTGCTCCACCGTTATCACCGTCTGGGAAAGAAGCTGGTGCCGAAGTGCAGCACGGGGTTGTTGCTCTTTTAGATGCTGCTATTTTAGTAGCTCTGGTAGCTTATGCCTTTTGAATACCTGCGGCCTGTTCAGGTGTGCGAGCCATCGTCGCGGTTAAAGATAAGGTGAGGGTGCTAAAGATAGAAGGCATGTCCGGGGGGGGGTTAGAAGAGCTCAAAGAGGTCCGGGAGTCAGAAAACATTAAAGGGGGAGTAGCGATTAACTCAGAACCGCAATTCAATTCAAAAGAATTACTCGTTTACATAAGAAAATTATTGTTATAGAATTGATGATTTGAAATAGTGCTTCCGACAAGTTTTGCACCTAATATTGGGTGGCGGCCGCATTTCCTGCTAAGGCTCTAGCATTCGTATCTATTATTAGAATCCGAGACCAGTCAGCGAGGCAGGTAGACGAGTTGAGACGACTTTGTTATTGAGTAATCTGACCGCTATACGAGAAGACTAAAGCCTCATCGTCCGAGTCGCTAACAATTGAGGCATCGGCGGCTGGCTTAATATCGCATGCACCGGAATGTTCAAGATAATCTTTGATAATCATAAGGAAAAGAATTATATACTGAGTTCGTGCATAGGTAATCATCGGTGGATTCGGGTTGACGTTTGCTATATCGCTATTTCTTCGTTATAAAACAAAAGTGACTATCCTTCATCCGCTAACTCCTATCGAGACCATCACTCGTATCTGTAATCCTGAACCTTTGGTTTTATTGTAATCGCCATTCTTCGTTTTGCGATTGCCGGTGTGATATCGATGCACCGAAGAGGATCAAGAAAAGGGAGGGATAACATTCAGAACACGATGTTCTCGGATATGTCGGAAGCCCTTAAATCGAGGCACGTCGACTAGCTCCCTCTTGCGCTGACAGACCGTAAGAAAGGCCAGCAGTTGTGCTGACAAGACTTATCGGAAGACTGGTCGATATACTGCAACTATTAAGGCTAGAGCTATCGCGCCAAGCTCGATGAGTTGATGAAAGGATCTTAGGCCAGCTATTATGCTGCAATTATTGAAATTAGAACTGTTGCCGCTGACTTCGATAAGTTGATAAAGATTAACAAGCGCGAAGAAGGAGTCTCGACGAGATCGACGTCGGCTATACGGTCTATTCAGTGTACGGGCTGTAAGGATTGCATATCCTGGTCCTTATTCTCCGTCGCGGTAGCTCGTATAGCAGACATTGGGTACGCCGAGGTTGAGGTTGACCTCCACAGCGCAGTCCAGGCGGTGGTGGTATCCCTCGACCTCCTGCTTGTCGGTGTGGGAGATCCGAGCCAATGCCTCCACACAGCGGCAGGCCTGACCCAAACGAGGGCTGAGTGGTGTACAGATGTTGCTGGCACAGGTACCGGTGATGCGACTGACGCCAAGGGTACTCTCTCGGAACAAGCCTTCGCTTCTGGCGTGTTCGGGCGATACGAAAAGCTTCCTATATGGGAGGATCGATTGTTGGCAATTCTATACGACACCCGTCAGATTGGTTCAACAAAGGAAGCAAAAGGCAGAGGATGGAGAGGGGAGCTGTGAATTTATCACAACAGGGGAGGCAGGGGAGGTGGAGGGGGGGAGAGGTCAAAGGGAGAGGTCAAAGTAGTCAATCCACTTACGAGTCACAGTTGCTTGTCGTATGTAACACAGCGTTGGTGTTCCATGTATCGATGTTGGACTCCGGTCTGGGTGCAGGGTAACATCGTCAGATTGTGGTAGAAGTCGAAGACGGCCTGCGGGACCACATATCCGGCATTGCGGATCATGTCTTATAGTTCCGTTGGCGTGAGGAGTTTGGCCATCGACCTGTTAAGCATTAGTTTCCGTAATGAACATCATATGATTGGGTTAGTTCAATATAGATAGGTAAGTGTGACTCTAAGGATACAAGGTAAATGTTTCGAAACTCGGCTGGTGAAGGTATTGGTAAGGGCAAGAGGACGCTATGAACCATCGTTGAATAGATCAAAGAGAGGTCAACTTACATGAAAACGTTTCCAAGGTCTCTTAGTATTTAGAGGTGTCCGTTGGCCGGGACAATGGCGATGTGGGCGACCGGGGCTATAGCCGTGTAAGGCTGAACCGAGTCGGGGGCGGAATCGAAGACCTGGTAGTCGTCAGAAGAGCAATGGATCGATTCTGAACAGTTTTCGTCGAGCATATTAGTGTCAGATGAGTCTTTAACCAACTCAAGTCTGTCCTTGATCGCCGTGAATTGGGGGACTAAGACTGAAGGTCGTCTTGGGTGAGGTCACGGACGAGGTTTCTTTCGATATTTTCCATTATGGACTTAGTCGACGAGACGAGAACCGAGGAGCTTATATCGTAAGCTAGGAGAATTTCGAGGAAGAATAGATGTCTTGGAAGATATCGTTCGAATGAATATAGATGTCGGTTTGTTCTGGTGTCTATAGTCCAAAGACGTAATCGAAGATACAGAACACGAGAGCAAGCGCCTGCTCGAAAATGAGTTCTCTAAATAATTATAATTCCGACAATCAGAACTGATTTTTATGTTTCCACTATAATATCTTAAGGGTAAATACCCCTAGAAGAACCTGGCATACCACACTTCATCGTGGCATACCATTTAGTTCTTCAATCCAAAACATAACATACTCCGTACTAGTTATCTTTATAAGTTCTTCATCTGCCAATAAGTAGATAGTTCATAGCTTGAGAAAGCGTTGTCAATTAGTAACCATCTTCCGATATCGTCGGAAAACTTCTCCAGTCTATAATGACCGTAAAGGCATTGAAATCGGACCTGAGCAAAGCTTGCATGCAACTGGCTTCGTTGTTAAACATCATTTGTCCGCAAAGACATACGTATTTTTCTTCATTGAGATTACTATCAACGGCTAGTATAGTCTCCAGGCCAAGGACTGAGTAAGAATAGAATCCAACAATTACCAAGCCTTCTTCCGAATTTTGCTCAATTATTCTAATGATTCTAATACTGAGGATAGGCTATACTATACTAGAATTCTCTCCGCGTTTTGAAAATGGTTCAAGTCCGCGAACGCGTTTTTTCCAGCCCATATTGATATGGTTTCTAGTCCTGCCTTGTGGTAGGGCTGAGCTGGACTAAGGTACCGGTAGCTAGAGATAAAAAAGGAGGACGTATCTTCGCTTGATTAAGCGAGGAATGTACTTCCAGACCAAAGACCAAATAAATATTAGTAACGTTCGTTAGATTGCTGGTAATCTCGACTAATTGGATATCTACATCTAGTTTTTACGCTAATGTGACTGAAAATCTTACCTTTTTTTTTAATAAGCTTTCGTATTGTTTTCAATATCTTTGACTATCTTTTTGCTTTTTAATTACATGGCTTCTCCGTTCGTTTTCCATATTTATAGCCGCTTCTTTTGCATTTCTATGGAAAGGTTCTTCGGGTGGTTTTTTTTTCTTTCAAAAGAAAGGCTAAGAGCTACTTCATTTGAATTTTATTATAACGCTCTTTCGTTCGTATTACGGCTGTCAAAGATAATATTGTGTTACGGGAGATGGGCCTCGTAGTAGATGATTTCGAATGTACAATTCATTGACGAGCCACTCCCGTTTGATTATATTACAAAGCCAAAGCTTGTTTATCTTCAAACTCGATTGCTTGGAAAGGGGAAAAAATGCGAGCCTGTGATTTTAGCTGACAGGCACTCTTGAGCGTTGATTGGTGTGATGACAGCTGGCTAGCAAGCTTCTTGGTCTGAAGTAGCTAGAAGTAGCTTGCTAGAGAAGAAGCCAGCTGTCAGAAAATGGGTTGAGCTCAAAGAAGCCTAATGCTCCCAATTAAGGCCATTCTGAAGTACATGAAGTATGGCCAGGGGTTGTTGTTGCTGTTGTATTTATTTACGTCGGGCGGGCGGCAGGCGTATGGCCAGGGGTGGCGGGTGGGAAATTGAGTAGATGACTTCCAAGCAATCGATTAATGCTGAGGATCCCTTGGCCTTAAGAATTTATCATTATAATATATCCTAGTCTGACTAAAGACTTTTATCCTGTATCCTACCGACAGCCTTTCAAGGCATTAAGATTGTAGCCCACTTACTCCTTTGAAAGCATAAACACCAACATTTTCAAGAAACCATTGGATCGAAAGTGTCCGGAACCATACTGAAACTCCCCACGCTCGGCAGACCAGCTTCTCCATTGATTTCCCATTTCGCTTCCCAATTAATGATTTCGCTCGAATATCGATATAGCTCCTCCTTTGTTCGATAGCACTGAGCCCATATTTGGAGGGCGTTTCTTCGTATCGTATCATTTGGAATAACCATTTGCGGCTTCCAACCATTGAGTATGATCCATGAGAATCGCAGCGCTCTTACGGGGCTCCTCCTGAGTTCCCATCTGATGTATTGCTTAACTAAACTTTCGTCTCCAGCCCATAAGTCCAGTTCCACACTCTCATCATCCGAAGCCCATCTTGTCCAAAATTCCTGGATCCATACTTTGGTTGCTTTTGCCATCTTCTCTTTATCCGCTTCGATAGCACAAAACCAATTATTTTCCGATGGTTTCTCATTCCCGCAAGAAGGATCGTTGTCTATTGGGATTATTAGCTTCGCGTAATAAGTAATGATATACAAATTAACTTACATAAATAAAATCCTTCTCCAATTTGATTGAGGCTTTCACCTGGTTTATCGTATATCTCTTCTGTGGATAGCTTATTGCCATCATTAATAAATCTGGCTTGGTCCTATAATTCGCGTAATTAGTATAACTATCGATTGCCGTACGTATTATTATGAAAAATTATCGACCTAGATAGCCGACGATTAAATCCAGTGAAACTTACTTCGGTGACTGCTCGATAGCCGATGAGTTCTCTTCCGTGGAAGAACCATCCATGAGCTCTATCCAAAAGAAAGCTCAAGGCTAGCAAGATTGCGCAAATCGACCTTGTAAGTAATAGCATCGTATTTATGGAAATCCAAAATAGTTGCGAAGCTTGCAGAAGAAGAAGAAGGTGATGGTAATGAATTGAATTCGAAGTGCAAGAAGAGATATAGATCTCCTTCTTATAGTGTATTCTATCCGATATCATATTGATTCTATTAATATTAGCAACCCTGATTGCAATTTCTACGTTGGCCATCCGTAAATAATTAAGCGGCTAATACAGTAGTACAGTAACACCGCATAAAGCCCCCGAAGTGGCGCGCGGGGCCGTTGACTCTAAGTATAAGATCGACGCACTGCCTCCCGTGACTCTTAATTGGTAACTTATATTTTTAATTATGGCTCCAGCCTGATTTCGAGGTTCATCTAAGCCTTTGCGCAACCAACGCACTGATTAGTTGAGGAACAAAGATTAAACGTTATTAGCAGCCCAGCGTGCCACTTGGTCGAGTTTATGCGGTGCTCAGTGCGCTGACTGTGAAACTGTCTTGGTATTTTTATCTCGAAGATCATCCCAATTATAAAGTTTGAATTTAACGTTTAGCTTAGGTGGCATCTGGTAGACGGAGATCACGAAATTCTCGAAATGGAACCGTGATATTGAATCTTTGAGATTCAAGTCAGCGTTCAAAATTTTCCCAGCTTATGTTCGTATGGTTTCTTCTACCAGTCTTGCCTCGTGGCAGGGCTGAGCTGGCAATACTTGGGGCTCGTTTGGTCAGACGCAGGTTTCGTGAATACCAATACTCCGGCAAGGGTTTTCGATGAGATAATGTTTGGTCCAAACCCGGGAAAGATTTCCAAATACCTCTGACTTCAGGTTTTGGGAAAACTTTTTTGCCACCTCGCCCAAGTCGAATGAATGGTTTTGTGAAAGCAGGTTCAGACCATAGCCCTGACCTTGTTAACCGACTATTTGCATATCTATTCTGCAATAATAGCTTGTGTACTATTAATCTTTATACAGCTCCGAATTAAAGTATGACCAGGTTCGCATAATCGGAGCAAATGCTAAGCCCCGGTTCGAAACGGAATTGCTTTCTTCCTCACCTTACAAAACTTTGACCAAAAATGGACCAAACAGCTACTAAATTGACGAGGTTCTCATCATATCAATATTGCAAGAATCACTTCTTTGAAAAACTGGTTTTGACGATTTGGTTTCGCGAAAACCTTCACTTCGGCGTCGGACCAAACGCCACCTTACCAACCCCTCTTCAGAATCATGCTCAACTATTTTAAACACGAAGAGGATATTCTATATCAAGTGAGCCTATGCTCGCATTCAGATGCCATTTTCAAGTCCCCGTGCAATCCTTTTCCCAGCCTATTTTCGTATGGTGACTGCATCTATAGCGCTCGGAAACCTACGGATTGCCAACGAAGGGGCCCCTTATACGCGTGACCGCGATGGAGCCGTGTTGCGAGCGGGGAGAGGCAGTGACGACCGAAGTCACTGGACATCAGAGAGAAGAGAGTAGGAAAAAAACGAGGGAGAGGGGTATTGCGACTCGGATACGAATAATCGTTTTCTCAGCTAATTTTCCATGTTCCTAAAATTCTCACACGTCAGCGCTTTTCGTCTCCAGAGGCCTTGTGAGACTCCCGCCGTCAGAGCACGGATTGCTTGCCAGCTCCTTTTGGGGCGATTATGAGCCGGAATGCTGTGCTGTAAGCAACGTATCTGATTTCGTTATCTGGGCTTTTTTTCCCAAGGAGCCGTGTGATGGGTGGCCTTTTGTTTCTACTGCTTTCCCTTCCACTCCTCGCTTCTTTTTCCGCCCACCCGCGGCCTTCGAATACTTCTTCGCTGTTCAACACCCAACCTTAGAACCCAGCTGGAATGATTCGTAAAGGAATATACGCGATCGAAACTGTTAGCAGAGAGGTTTTCAGAGGGCGATTAAGCCCGAAAGCAAAAAATCTAGGAGTAGAAGAGCTGATTGTCAGCAGGGGCTAACTCGACAGTGAAGCCCTCCCAAGAAAAAAAGAACAAAGGGTCGGGGGGAGATGTCTCTGCAGACTCAGAATAATATTGACTGGTGAAGACGAAAAAGAGGCTTAAGCGAGCGAGCTAGCTTAGCGAACTAGATTGGCCGTGACCTAGCGCCTGACAAGAGACTGTTGAAGACAGTCCTTTTGTGTGTGTGTGAGAGAGAGAGAGAGATGTGTATATATATACATATATACGTATATACATATATACATATATACATATATACATATATACATATATACATATATACATATATACATATATACATATATACATATATACATATATACATATATACATATATACATATATACATATCATAAGTTTTCAAACAGACTTCGAGAATAGTCAATATGGCTCACTGCAGACCTCGACTCTAGATACTCCTTTCATAGCAGTGAAAGCTTCTCTCAGATTACGCAGGGACTCAGGCTCGCCATATGGCGTCCGCCATTTTGACCACCTGCTGCATCTCCGTCACGTCATGCACACGCACAATATCAGCGCCACCGTGTACCGCGGCCGCAACCGTGGCAGCAGTCCCCCAAGTCCTCTCATCGGGTTTCTTTACGCCAGTTACTTTCCCAATGAAGTTCTTTCTGCTCGATCCCACCAACCAAGGTAACCCTCTCAGACCAGGCCAGTCCCGCAGCTCCTCAAGACGCCGCAGGATCTCAAGATTTTGCTCCACGGTCTTGGCAAATCCGATACCCGGGTCGAGGATGATGCGCCAACGACGAATACCAGCTGCTTCCGCTTCAGCGACACGTTCGAGGAGCTCGGCTGCTATGGTGGGGATAAGACCGCTGGGATATTCTGTGAGTTTGTTCATGGTCCGGGGAGTACCGCGCATGTGCATCAGGATGACTGTTACACCGAGCCTGGCCATGGTAGGGAGCATCTCGGGGTCCATTTGGCCTGCTGAAACATCATTGATGATGTTAGCTCCAGAGTTGATAGCAGCTTCGGCGACTGATGCTCTGTAGGTGTCTACGCTGAAGGAGAACTCTTTGTATGAGTGGGTAGTCTCGAGGTCTCTGATTTCTTCAATGGCGAGTAAGACACGTCTAGTCTCCTCTTCGACAGAGACCTCGGCGACTCCGGGAGCAGTACTCTGGCCACCGATATCGCAGATGACTCCTCCACTATCAAAGCCTAGCACGGCCTTTGTCATAAGTGCGTCGCCCCATTTGGAGGATTCTCCTATGGCAAACACGGGAACATCGCCATCTCGTTGAGGTATAACGAAACCAGTTATCCGATTTGGAGAACTATTGAACTTGTTGGTTCCTTCCTGCTTTCGGGGGACTTTTCCGCCATCGGAAAACGAGTCGGGTGTGGCATTAAGTATTGCCATCACCCTGGTGGTACGACGAGGATCCAAAGCATGGAGAGGTTCCATACCATGTGGCATTGGGGTGACAGTTGAGATGGGGGCCCCGGATGGTGGAAGGTCATTGAGGTAATCCTGCGTGACCTTCCAAGGATGTGCAGGATTGAGAGACTTGCCCGGTATCAGTCTATGGAGAGTCAGTGATTGGCTCCGGTTTCACAGTGCGAGTAGGCCTACTCTGCCAACGGTCTCAGAACAAACTCTCGTTCGTACATCAATGGATGGGGAACTTTCAGGCGACTATGATCGATGACTTGGTCCGCATACAACAGGATGTCGAGGTCAATATTTCGTGGTCCCTTGTCAATGATCTTCTTTCTACCCAGTCCATTCTCGATAGCCTGAAGCGCATTCAACAGGTCGATTGGCTCTAATGTTGTCTCTACCTGCGATGTTCAGTGTTTAGTACTGAGCAATGCGCAATGCATTGACCACGGGCAAGGGCCGTCTGAAGAAGCCATACCTCTGCAACACCATTCAGAAAAGACTCCTGATCCTTCACGTACATTGGCTCCGTCTCCCACAGACCACTTGTTCTCGTGATTCGAATGCCCTCTTTCCCCATGAGAGTGCACGCTTCTTCGATCCATCTCACCCGGTCACCAAGATTACTACCCAATGCGATGTACGCCACTCGTTTTTCACCTTTGTTTGTCTTTTTCGCCAACCTAGACAAGTCAGATGAAGCAGGCTTTGGCAGCTCTGAGCGATTGAGCCCGTATGGAGTCCATGTTGATGACAGCGACGAGCTACCGGAGGAGGAGGATGTATTATGATATCGTCGTGTTATTGTGGAGCCGGCAATTCTTGATCTTGATACTGGTCTGAGAAGTAAGGAATGTGTTGTTGACGATGCTCTCTCCCCGATTCTCCCGCTGACTCGAAATGCTCTCATTGGAGTAGATGTGTGGATTTCATTGCTCCGATGGAGAGGAGGTTGGCCTTGGGAGAGCGCAAGATCACCAGAGGCCCCTTTGTTTTCGAGAGCATCACGTGGTGAGTACTCGTTGGTCAACCGTTGAATATATGAATATATGAATATTTTTGAATTTGTGATGCAGCATCTTGTCGAGTCTCGTTTGGTACCGCTTTATTGCGGTCGAAGGTTATAGATGATGTTGTGTTTTCAGGCAAACGAGTAGGTTCACAAAATCACAGGTTGTCGTCGTCGCGTGACTCGCCTGCCGACCTGCGCCCCGCATCACCTGATCCAGCTGGTGGCAGCTGGGCCGAGGCATTTCCATTTCCCCAGACTCTAAGTTCACTCGTCGGCCCGAGGCGCGGTCTTCAGCCCTCTCCTCATCATCCTCATCATCCTCATCCTCCCAAGCCTTTTCCTCCTCATCCTCTACACTCCGATCTCCTATTTAATCCGCCTCATATAAATTGGAATTCTCCTGTCTATATCAATCTTCTCCTCTCATCCTCACCAAACCGTCAAGATGGCCTCCAAGCGTACGTACTAAACAGATCCATCATCTCACACATGTTGCCTGCCTACTTCATCAACTGCTCTCTCTTTCTTCACCGTAGACTCAACTCACCATGACATTCAGAACAACTCCGTACTACCCTTACGGATCTTTTAAAGATCAACCACCCGGTCATGCTGGCGGGTATGAACGTCGCCGCCGGCCCTAAGCTTGCTGCCGCCGTCACCAATGCCGGAGGACTCGGTGTTATTGGAGGAGTCGGATACACTCCCGACATGCTTCGCGAGCAGATCGCAGAGCTCAAGTCCTTTCTCACAGACAAGAATGCCCCCTTTGGTGTGGATCTGCTGCTCCCTCAAGTCGGAGGATCTGCCCGCAAGACAAAGTAAGCAAGCAATCATCATATAAACAAGCCAGTCAGCCTTCTTGCTTGATTATAAAACAAACAGCACCATGCCTTTGTTTGATCACTATTCAGCTGCTGACGCGCCCTGGCAAACAGTTACGATTATACCAAGGGCAAGCTCGGCGAGCTGATTGACATCGTGATCGAGTCCGGTGCAAAGCTCTTCGTTTCAGCTATTGGTGTGCCCCCGAAGGCTGTCGTCGAGAAGCTGCACAACGCCGGCATTCTATATATGAACATGATAGGGCACCCTAAGCACGTCAAGAAGTGCGTCGACTTGGGCGTGGACATTATCTGCGCCCAAGGAGGAGAGGGGGGTGGACATACTGGAGATGTTCCTACAACCGTTCTGATCCCAGCCGTGGTTGAGCTTGTCAAGGGCAAGACTAGCCCTATGACCGGCAAGCCCGTGCAAGTTGTTGCCGCTGGCGGTATCTTCAACGGACAGACTGTTGCTGCTGCGCTTATGCTCGGTGCTTCGGCCGTTTGGGTGGGAACCCGTTTCATCTTGACTGATGAGGCTGGTGCACCCAAGGCCCATCAAGAGGCTGTTAGGACTGCTGGACACGATGACAATGTCCGTACGATCATCTTCACCGGGAGACCGCTGCGGGTACGCACTAACCCGTACATTGAAAACTGGGAGAACAACCGCGCGGCGGAGATCAAGGAGCTCACTAGCAAGGGTATCATCCCCGTTGAGCACGATTTTGAGACTTTGGGTGACGATATTGATGATGAAGTATGCATCACGTTCTCTAAAATTACCTTGACTGTGGCTAACCGATGACAGACTATGGATAACGCCAGACCCTTCCTGATGGGTAAGGCTGCCGCTGTTGTGAATGAGAAGAAGAGTGCCAAGGCCGTCGTGGACGAGCTGGTCACGGATGCTGTTGCTTGGATCCAGAAGGGTGAGAAGATGATTGCGAAGTTATAAAAGATATAAAGATAGGCGATGAGTTTATGAGTCTGAAGGGGAGAGCATTATTGGACAGTGTATGAATTAGATTATTGCATGCCTCTGCTTTCGACCCGTCTTGCCCTCGCTCCCAGGTTCTGCGATCTCTTGTACTTGAATCATATGTCAGAGAACAATTTTTTATATGATACCCTACGCCCTCGTGTAAATCCTACTCTATGGTGACATGGCATTATTTTCTTACGATCCCAGTCCTCGGCCTATAAGTCCCAGGTGGAATTTAAAGTTTAAGAATCGGATTCCTTCGAGGGGTAAAATTTCGTGAGAAATAGATTGTACTGAATCAATGAATGAGTGAATGAATGAATGACGCTAATTAGCTAGCCAAATAACGGCCGCGCAGTACATTCTTCATATGCGGCGTATTGATACTTTTCGATTTATTATTGGCCTTTAAGCTCTGGGTATATGTGCAGAGCTACTTCGTATACGTAGCGGAGAAAGCCGAATTTGAGTTCTTGGGACGGCGGAGCGAATTCATGGTGAGAGATTACCGGTAGGTTAGCTAGTGGTGATTTGAGGAGACGTGGAATGAACGAATGGTATTATGTGCTGATGGTGTGGTATAAGTAAGTGAAATTGGCGGGTCTGGCTAGAAGATACCCATGAATGAAATGAAACGAAATGGAAAGCTGTGGACAATAATCTGATGTTTCTTCTTTACTGAATATCTGATCAATATAAGGTATCTTTTTACCAATGAGCCCGTAGCTTTGACTGACTGGCTATTTGCAATTGTAGTAAGATAGCCCAAGCCTAGAATCAAGTGATTCGTCACGAACACTTCTAGAAGTCAAGCTTCATAGTTGACTGAATTGCTGAGCTCATTTGCTGCGTGCGCGATCCCCGTCTTCTCTTCCGATTCCCTATCAACATTCTTTTTTCTATTGTAGGATCTTCAAGAAAATGGGTCCGGCGGTCCTTCACGAAACACTTCCTCCTTCTGTATCATCCACACACCTTATACGACCACCAGCCGCATCCTGGCAAATCGTCCTCTCCTTTTCCAGCTCCTCGTCATCCTTTGGCCCTCGAGAGACATCCAAATAATACTTCATCAATTCGGGATGTCCGTAAGCATCTAGCACTAGAAATCGGCCCATCCTCTCCATCTCATCCAGGCATTTCAAGTAGTGGACGACGCCTAGGGAGTGAGTGATAGCTAGTCAGCTCTCTCTTGCTACAATGCGGATAGTATAGACAGGGTGATTTCAAATGCAAGCCAAATAATCACTCACAATTCCTCCAAGTCGTGATATCACCGTCATCATCAAAGTATCCGAAGCCCGAGACGGATTCGTCTGACGAAACCTTGTCCGTCAATTTCAACAGCTCGAATTGCTCCGTCTCGTCATAATATCTGACCTGTCGAAAAGGTTCCTCCCTTGGATATCTGGGGACCGGGTACCCGAATACCTTGCAAAGTCTATCCCCGCTTTCAAGTAGATTACCCTGGGTCTGTAGCACTCGTGGTAGGAACGTCTCTAGTATATAGCCCGGCCAGAGACTGGAACGCGTGTCTGCGAACATCCATCCACCTTCCCAATCGACTAGATAGCCCTGGGGGTAGCTGGCATGTTGACGGTTCGTAATCTGCTGTAGAGTAAATCCGTACGACAGCAGACCATACTTCTCGAGAACTGGTCGCAGGACATGCTTGATGCTAACAAATTAACAAAAAGGGTCCCTGGGTCAGCAGCCCAGGTCAGTAGTAACAAAGGGTAGCAGGTGATCACTCACAGACGACCCAAAACATCAGGGGCAGCTCGGTGATAGAACACAATACACGGCTTGATCCCTTTCAGGACCATGAGAAGTTGGATATAAAATCTGCACATCTCACTCCGGGCAATTTTCAGGTTCCAGTCTCCAGGATTGGGAACAGAGTTGTCCAGCTCCAGTATCAAACGACACTCCTGGTCCGACAGAGCAAGGCAGTACTCACGTTCTCCTATACTCGATCTGTCAGCCAAGTAAGGCACACATGAGCGACTCTTTCGTGTTTCCAGCTCCGTATATTCATTGTCGAGTGAGTGAGTACTTACGCCGTGTGTATTCGTGAAACGCCCTCTCGACCAGGCTAGCGTAATCGCAATCCCTCTCGAACCCCGGATCCTCCTCCGTTGACTCATTATCTGCCGGCCGTTGTTCAGATCCTCCTTTCGGCAGGGCCACTTCTACCCTCGCTACGAGGGGATCCTCTCTGATCAGCTTGATGAGGATATCATCGGAAATACTTGAGAGCCGTCAAATTTCAGTGAATACTTTGCGCGCGGGTGCAGATCTTTTCTTACATCCACTGGTGCTCGCATCTCAGACGTTTCAGGAATTTTGCACGTTCAAGGGTTGGCTCGCGAGTGCGGAGAGCTCTGGCCGCTGTCACCAAGTCGACATATTCGGGAGTCACCCAGGTGTGGGCCATTCTGCAGTTCTATTTATCTATTTCCGGAGATCGTGAGTTCAAGATGGGAGGGGTGCTCAGAGGGGCGTTGAGAGGGCTCTGTAATTTCTCTCGTCGGAGAATCTTTAGAATACTGGTAATAAAAAAGGCTAGAATGATAAGCGTGACTTATACTATGGGGAGTTCTCTTCAGGCCCAAAATGAACGAAGATAATGCCTTTTGTTACAGGCTATTCAAGCATTGTCTGCTCGCTTTATTTTCTGGCTAAGGGGCCGGGGAAGGAGCCTCCCACCAACGTATACATGCAGCCCTAGCTTGCGGAAAGGGCGGGGGGATAACAAATAGTACGTGCCCCGAAGTCGAAGGGGAGAAGGATATCCATATCGACGGGAATGGGAGGAGGGAGTTGGTTCTCACACCGGACCCAAAGATGAAAGATCATTTGAAGCAGCATGGAGATGGAAGGATGGCTGAATCACTATCCCCGGAGTACGGGAACGACTTTCAGAAGGGCGAGGGGGGTAGCAGATGGCTGGTACTGACGCCGAACAATTGACTGCCGTCTTCAGCGTCTCGGAGATATCGATAGACTCTTCAAGTGTGGGCTGGGTATTGTATGTCGGATCATTTGAGGCTATTTGATCCAGTTGAATATCACCAGCCAATAGCAATAATTGTGGCTAGCAGACAAGCTTGTCTAACCATGCTTTCCATAGTCCATCTAAACATTATATCGTAATGGAATCTCGAATATTGAAGCTTTTCTGAATCTTCTCGCCAAAACCCGTAGACTCGGAACGGAGATCGCTTGAAGCAGGCCAAGCTCTCCGTCGGCCAATTGGTTTTCGATTATACTTATGAAAGAGACGAAAAGTAAACACCACAGCCGAACCCCTTTACCCCGGATTCCTCGGCCCGTCCTCGGCAATAGCTCGACCTCGGCCCTTCCCCGCGATTTGGGACCTCACATCACATCGCTTACAGCCGTTATCAACCAACCACAGCCACAATATTATACCCCTATCCAATCCTCACCCATCTTCAAAAAAAAAAAAAAAAAGTATTATATATATCCCCTCCCACCCCTCCTACCCAGTCTTTCTCTCCACTCCCCTCTCAAGCCCACGTCCCCAACACGCCCCCCAAACAGATTGTCCAAAACAACAACAACAACAATGACAACAAATCCCCCTCCCCCAGGAATCCCCGAAATCAAGCTCTCCTATCCCACCCCCTCCATCCTCCTCATAACGATCAATCGCCCCAAAGACCTCAACTGCATGAACAGCACCATGAACCACTACCTGCACGCCCTCTACACCTGGTACGACGCGCAGCCCTCCCTCCTCTGCGCAATCCTAACCGGCACAGGCCGCGCCTTCTGCGCCGGCGCCGACCTGAAAGAGTGGAACGCCTCGCACGAGAAGCCACCTTCCACAAACACAAACACTGACACGAACACATCCGCAGCACTCAGCAGCATGCCCCCCTCCGGCTTCGGCGGTCTCAGCCGGCGTAGCGGCAAGAAGCCCGTCATCTGCGCCGTCAACGGGCTCTGCCTCGGCGGCGGCTGCGAGATGGTCATCAACGCCGACATGGTGGTCGCGGACCGGCAGCGGGCCGTGTTCGGGCTGCCGGAGGTGAAGATCGGCGTCGTGGCCCTGGCGGGCGCCCTGACGCGGCTGACGCGCACCGTGGGCCGGCAGCGGGCCATGGAGATGGCGCTGACGGGGAGGGCGCTGTCGGCCGACGAGGCGCGGGACTGGGGGCTGGTGAATCGCGTCGTGGATGGGGGCGAGGTGGTGGCGGAGGCTGTGAGGCTGGCGGAGAGTGTGTGTGCGAATAGTCCCGATAGTGTGATTGTGAGTCGGGAGGGTGTCAAGTTGGGCTGGGAGGGCGTTGGGGCGGAGGAGGGAACGAGGCAGTTGATGGAGCTTTGGTATGGGAGGATCGATAAGGGTGATAATATGAAGGAGGGCGTGAGGAGTTTCGTGGAAAAGAGGAAGCCGAAGTGGGTTGCGAGTAAACTGTGAATATGCAGTCACTGTTGTAGATATCTAGGTGTAGTGTACATGTAGCATATCCCATATGGGAAGATATCATGCCCAACTAACAGAAATCACAGGAAAAAACCGGCTTCCAAGAGAGCTTATAGTTTGGAACAGGATATTTATATTTCTCATGTCCTGGTCCTCGAGCAAGAGCCGAATGCCAATCCTGCCCACAGGAATCATCATCCTCATCATAACTAAACTCTTTCCTCTTCATCCTCCCCTTCCCAGGCCTTGGGCGAGCTTACAGCCGGACTCGTGGCAATCTTGGGCCTACTCTTGAACACACTCTCATAATCCGGATCCCCTTCGAGTAACTCAACAGCGCTCGTATTCGGGGTGGCAACCTCTTCCTCGACCTTGGGGAAATAACTCGACTGCCTCTGTTTAGCCTTGGCTTCTTTCACACTTCGCCTTCTCTCAATTTGCGCTTTCTTTTGTGCTGCCTCGAACCCGGCCATGCTCTTCCGCGTCCGCTCGATCAAGTCTGCATGCGGGTCTGTTTCAATGGATGGAGTCCGAGGTGCAAGAGATGGCCGAGATACGGGCAGACGTGGAACGTCGGCAATTTCGATTTCGCCCTCGAGTTCGGAGAATTGGGAATGTGACGTTCGCGCCATGGAGAGTCTAGTACGCTCTGCCAAGGATAAGGTATGCCTCGCTTTCTTCGGAGAGGGAGACGAAGCGGAGACTGAGTTGAGAATTTGGTCTGCAAGATCACTCTCGGATTCAATGGGGTTTCTAGATTGTGGTGGTGGACTCTTTGCCATGGCAGGAGGAGTACTGGGTCGGACCTCAGGTGATATAGGTTCTTGCGGAGATGGCTGAGGCGATAATATCGGCCTTGAGCCCTTTTGGGGTGCAGCCGTATCTGGGAATCTAGGAACTGGTGGTCTACTTGGTTTCATTCGACGCAGAGGCAATATGGCTCCAGAACTTGCAGGAGACTTAGGAGCTGGTGTGAGAGATACACGTCGGGCCACAGAACTGACGATCTCTGGAAACTTTTCATCCAAGTCACTAGCTGACGACCACGCTTCATCAATTTCTTCGGCCGGTTCCTCAAGCTTGAGCATGGGCGAAGTTGGGACGAGAAGCGACCTTCGCTTATCCGCGGCCAGGTTCTGTCGAGGAGGGCGATTCTGGACTTGAGGCTTACTGACATCTGCCAGCTCAGTCCTCATGTTGTCAATAAGGCGAGTGTATTCGGCCAAGGAGACACAGTTGGTGTGTACCACCTTGTCCGTGCCGCTTCTTGCGATTTGTATGGCTTGGTGTCGGGTAAATCCCAGATCTATCTTGCTTGCCACTTTAGACGCTGGGGCAGACCCTTTCGACGGGGATGGCCCGGTAGTCTTCGAGAGCCTCTTTCCAAAATCCTGCCACCTTGCCAGGCGCCTCTCCTGATCCTTGACGCGACCGTCTAGCTGTTCCAAAAGTCCAATTCGATTCGTACCCTCCACCTCGCCAATGCTACCCGCATCTACATTCTTCCAGACCTTGTCGAATCTTGTAGCCAGAAGCCCATCAGCGTTCGATCTGCTGTCTCCATAGAGGATGGTTTCGAGCCACTCGGTGTTACCAGACCAATTCTTCTGCACTTTATCTTGGAGCTCGTAAACCTCTCTCTGCGGTAATGTTCCATGTTCCTTGTTTTCCTCGATCACCTGCTTCAACTGTTCGTGCCTTCGGGCGATTCTTCGATCGTTCAATTTGAGGAGATCCGAAAAGTCTTGGTACCTGGCCCTCGCAACCCCCTTTGTCCGCAGAAATTTGCTCAAAGAAGCCTTGTGCGCCACAATTAGCGCCGAAAGGACTGTCCGTTCCCCGCTGTAAGAGAAATTTTCCGATGCCAACTGCTGGGCGAGCGCCTCATATCCCGACCCTTCGGATTGCAGAACCTTCTTTAGAACCGCATTCGAAAAAACTGCGAGAATTTCGTCTAACCTTTCCCCTTTGCATTCGTCCAACATCGTCTTTCTCAAGACAGTATCCCGTCCAAGAATACCATTCTTTTTCGCTTGGTCGAGGCTTCGGAAAAGTGCGGCGCGCAGATTGAGCGACTGTAAAGGCTCGAGGGGCGGATAGAATGGTTGGAGCTTCTGCATTAGGGTATTGTTAGTATCTGGAAACGAATATGATTCTACGCACCAGAGTGTAGGTACATTTTGAGTCTCTTCCGGGTCCCAGAGGGCGAATAGCTGATACAGCGCCCACTCGACGCATTGAATCCGTTTCTTTTGATTCTGCTGCGCATCTTTAGTCGAGAATGTCACCGCCGAGATGTCCGGCCAGTCTGGGCGTAGGTCGAAGTCCAGGAGTCGCAGATTCGTGAGGAAGAGCGTTATGTTCGACGGACCAGCAAGGGGCTGGGCTGTTACCGTCGCTGTCGTCGCAGTAGTCGTAGTGGACTTCACCAAATTTGGGGGTGGAATCCGCAAGCTCCGCGAGCGGGCGAGTGAGAGATTACTGGTTGCGGAAGACATCTTGTAGATATCAGAGTGTTCGACGGCGACAATAGCATCGTGGTATTGCTAGTCCGTTGTTCGTCTAGTTGAAGCGGTCTGGGTGCATGAGGGTTATCATGGTTGGTCGTCGGCGTCGGTGTAAACAAACGAAGGGTATCACATTAATTGGGACACGGACCACATACTGATAGCAGCACCCTTGTACTTACGGAACCCAGGTATTTATTTATACTTACATGCTTTCTAAGTATACGGACACACCTCCTCGAGAAGGTTCCGAGGTCCTGGCCCATCTCTAGCACGAACCTCTTCCGCAAGCTGAGTACAGATTATGAACCGAGGTGAAGCCAAATCTATATATGCCTACCGTGGCCTGGCCTAAGATCCAGCTCCCTTCTGCCATCAGCATGGACAGCTGACTGCTATCTTCAATGTCCGGAGCTTGGAATATCGCATCTGTCAACTTTTCAGTCTCTTTCTTCGCTCAGCGACCCGGGCGGAGTTGTAACTTGGAAGACTGGGCCGGTCATCACAGAACCATCGGCATTGTCAGGCTCAAGGCCGACGACATCGAGATGTGGAGATTGCGCATCGTGTTTAACGTGTTGAACGGGACCAAGAACTTTTGAAGCGAAGCTTAAGCCCAGGATATATGGCTACATCCATCACACTCATGGGCTGGACACCCGCCTGTGATTGTCACGATTTTACGATGCTTACATTGGCAACTCGAACGGAGCCCATCACTGTCATCAACCAGGTGGAGAAGTGACTTGAGCCTGCTGCCGTCTTAGCTTACAAGCCAATTCGGTATCCTGCTTTGAGACAGATTCCGTTCACCAATACATCTTTGACATGTAATAATAAGGGATCGTGGGAATTTCAGTGGCTCGGCAGGCGTAAGCACTCTAGGTAGGATTCTCACTCTAAGGAGGTCCGGAAGCACAGTAGCCGAGAATCCAGTTAAGGATAATGGACTGTTTCTTTAGAAATGAGGTAAAAGAATTGGGAGTATGTCCACGAGCGCCAGGTTAATTTGGCTCTCTCATGATTTTATCCCTTATGACGCTCCCGCTGAGAAATCTGTCCATATAGTCTGTACAAGAACATTTCTACCTGATCATTTACCATCGCCCTATCCAAACTCCCCGATGATATTCTCTGTGAAATGTTCCAAGAAACCACGACAGCAAAAGAAGTTCGTTCTGTTAGGCTGGTATGGTCTCAGAGACTGAATGAGCAGCCGAGGATAACTTACACAGACTGAGAGTTCGATTGCCGAAAGATCGTATGCAATGATATAATATGTTTACAGGATTTTCGACCCGCACTTGGAAGACGACTTGTACAATTGTTCATGAGTATTAATTCTCTCGGCGAGATCCATTCCTTGTACTCTTTCTCCCGCGTGCCGGAAGCATCGCATTGTCTGTCTCTGCCGCAGAAGTCCTTTGTTTGGTCTCGACCAGCTTCTATGCCATTCTTGAACAAAGAGACAGAAAATAGCTCGCACATAACATCGGCTTGTAATCTTCCAATTGAGTAGCAATCTTCAATTCTCGATTCAAGCAATGGCGAACAGATGGCGAGGAGGCCTCGGCCACGCGAGGAGTGGGATTGATGCACCACCCTTGCGGGAGATAATCGAAGCAGCACCAGCCGACGTCAACAACGAAGACAAAATGTGGACAAGCTGGGATGAAGATTCTCCTCTGCTCGAACTTTCAAAAATGTTACATTCACAGCCGGCATTTCCCACAAGTCAAGGTTCAAGCTATGCATCTGTCTTGAGTGTGGAAGGAGGCATGATAAACCGACATATAGCTTCAGTACCACGAAACCCGCAAGTGACTGGGGGACTCCAGGCTCCGTCGATGGATCCCAATCTTTTTCACGGCCCAGCAGAAGCTAGAAGACTGATGTTGGACACTGCGCAAAATCAAGCAATTCGACAAAGTTGGCTTGCATCAGACGTGGTTGAGATCGAAGACGGCTCTTGGACACCTGTTAAACTATTAGGGAGAGGAGCTCATGGTGTCGTGAGCCTTTGGGTAGGTCCACCCACGTAACAGTTAGAATTGCGATTCGCTGACTAGCTGCAGTCAAACAGTAAACGCAAATTGCGAGCTCTGCCCTGGCAGGTTGTCGTCAAGCAAAGCCCTGCCAGGAATCTGGCCTTGTTCAGGGAGAGCACTTATCTCAAGAAATGCAACCAGACTGGAAGTACCCATTTCCCGAGTCTCATCAAGGGATTCCATCAAGCCACCGACCTGGGATCTGAAGTCTCGAGGATATACATGGAATTCTGTGAGAGCGGAGATCTACAAGGGCTCATGTTCGATCTTGAGCGGTAAGTCTGCGTAGTAAGCTTTTTTTTCGACCTTCAAACTGACCCATCAAGGGCTCCAAATTCAATGGACGAGCGATTGGTTTGGAGAGTCTGGGAGTGCTTGGCCAGGGCGCTGTGTGTGCTTGCCTACGGTAGTGAAGACGGAACTACGACTGGTGACTGGGAAGAATTAGTTCACCTGGATATCAAGCCTGCAAACAGTATGTCAGTATGCACAGCTCTTAAACAGTCGGCTAAACTCCTGCAGTCCTGATCGGTGGTTACGATGCTGGGCACCAAGCCACGCAAATTCTCAAGGCAAGACGCCCGGTTCCCCTACCCTATAAAAAGCTAACAAATGTCCACTCAGCTGGCTGATCTAGGACTCGCGGAGATTATTCCTGGGATACAATCCGAAGACTTCATGAACAAAACTATAGGGCTCCGGGGAACGCCAGCATACTATCCACCCGTTTGTGTGAATCAGCGACCTGGCTTTTTCGAGGCTAACCCGCACATAGGAACAAGTCTATCGATTCGAAACCCCGAATCGCCGATTCGGATCATGTAGCAATGTCTACCAAGTGGGGAAGTGCATGTATGAGTAAGTGTATCACGCTGTGACTGTTTCAAAATGTTACATCGCGAACCAAGTCCCTCCCCGGTTACGCGACTTTCCTAATGGCAAGATGGATACTAAATTCTCGAATTTCCAGAATCATGAATCATGGCGTTGTCTCCCAGATGAACCAGTACAGCAGCACAGCTGTCACAGGCTGCGCAATCACGTTCGGGGTAGAGCCAGCGCGCCTGATGAATTACAGCAACGAGATCAAGGATGTTTTGAGACGCAGCTTGCTTACCGATTGCAGAGAGAGGCTATCGGCCCTGGAACTTCTGACCGTCTGTCAAAGAGCTTGCCAGATATTGGACGAACGTGCAGCTGCAGCCGCATGGCCAGCTGCCGTCCCAAATGAATCTTTCTACGGTCAAGGATACCCAGAGCCGGGTCGCTGAGTGTCAGTTGCGAAAGATGTCAGTTGAGGATACAAGATCTCGACGATTGATCATATGGTGCTGTCGTGGAATTGTGAAACGACGTTACACAGATCTCTATACAAGGAGAGGACCGTGTCAATAGATACCCCAGCTGGGTCGATGTTTGCAGATATCGTTGTCTGCTTTCACAGCCTCTTCGAATTTACTATCATGGTCTCCGCAGCCGGGCCACAGCTCAAAAATAAATTCAGTTGGCGATGTCTCCTCGCCTACCTCGCCATGTCCCTGGCCCACTGCCAAGTTGGATACAGCACTATTTCGATATCGGGCTTCCAAGTTATGATCGCTTTCCTCAGAACCTACGGCCATCTTGATCCCAGGACGAAAACAGGGTGGAATATGGGCACGACCCCCCAACAACTCGCTGCTTCATTCGTCAACTTCGGCACGATCCTCGGCATACTCTGCGCAGGACCTTTGGGAAAGTGTATTAGCCGAAGACACGGACTCTGGCTTGCCTGTCTCTTTTCCGTACTGGGCTCAGGTCTCTCCAACTGAAAAGCTCCCATGTGGCTGGGCTGTAAGCGAGACGGATCATCATCGGGATGCCCAACGGCATGTTCACGACCTTCGCGAACACATATACGGCAGAATGCGCCCCCAAGGGCTTGAAGGGCAAACTCGCCTCCCCCTACGGTGTGAGCGTCTGTTTTGGGGGCCTGCTTGGGTCTATCACGGACAGCTTCACGGCTCACCTCCACACCCCCTGGGCATACAAGATACCCCTGGCGTGCCACATGACGATTCCCGGTATCCTTGTGGTATTGATAACATTCATACCGAGATCGCCGCGTTGGCTTCTTGTTGGCGGTAGAGCGGATGAGGCGAGACGCTCGCTTGACGTGCTTCGCGGACGGGCATTTGACAAGGATACACTAGACGAAGAGGTCAGCCAGACCAGGAGCAGTGTCGACACAGAGAAGGAAGCCATCCAAGAGCGTCGGTATACCGAAATGTTCAAGCGTGCAGACCGGCGAGAGACGCTTCTCTGCCTCGCAGTCACGCTGTCCAACTCAGCTTCCGGCATCTGGCTCATGCTCTCCTACGGTACCGTCGTATTCCAGCTAGCCGACGTCAGAGCGCCCTTCCGATCCTCGATATTCAGCAATCTAGCACATCTGATAGGGGCACTGGACGGTCTCTACCTGAGCCCGAAGCTGGGACGCCGCTCGATGCTGATGATAGGCCATTTCGTTCCCGGTCTCTGCATGCTCGGCGTCGGCGTCTCCTTCACGCTCAAGCCCGACTCGAGACTAGCCAGCAGCAGAGCTGCCGAGACCCCCATCGTAGCACACGGCTTCTTCTACTACGCTTTCGCCTTTTCCGTCTCGTGCACGCTGTGTAGCGAGCTTGTCAGCCAGCAGCTGCGCTTCGTCACTGCCGAACTCGCCACCTGGCTCAACCACATTACTGCCTGTACGTCCCCCCTCCCTTCTCCCAAGCCAGATGTCCATCGATCATGCCCGGCATCTGACAAGCAAGCAACTAATCAGGGCTCGTCGCCTTCAAAACGCCGTACTTCATCAACGCCGAACGGCTGGGCTGGCGTCCAAAAGTGGCATACATCTGCGCCGCATCCAATCTCATCAGAGGAGGTCGGTAATCCCATCCCATCGACGACGAAATATATATATTAAGATGGCACGCCGATAACATTAAATATTTAACCACCTGTCTACCAGTCCTCCTCCTCCTCTTCTTCTTCCCCTTCCTCCCAGAAACCCAGCGCTACACCGGAGAATGAAATTAGGGACTTTCTTCCAGTTCCAGAACCGCAGGACCCGGAGCTCGGCTCACACAGAGAGCATCAACTTTTCAACTAGGGTAGGTAGATGAAACTCGGGAGTTCGGAGACTAGAGATTAGAGAGAACCCTCTTCGCGTGGGTACATGGTGGGTGGGAACTTGCACAGGTGATAAGATCAGTAAATAGATAGAGAGAGAGAGATAGGCAAGCGCGCGAAATTCCCAGCCTCTGCGCTGTGTGTTTTGCTTGTGTTAGTGGCCCAGCAACACTCTCAACGATTGATGATATACACTAGCAATGAAAAAACTTCAGGGGCTAATTCGTTTCTCGTTCCGGTAGGTATGTATGGCCGGAGATTGTGGATGGGGATTGCATGGAGAGTTGGAATAGAAGAGCACCTTACACACTGACTGCACTTTGTGCATAGAAATAAAGCCGTGGAAGAGGTGCAGTAAGATTAGAATCAAGTGAGAATTCAGTAAAGGCTGTATACTCCGTCTTGCACAGAACGCATACTGGCCGAAGTAGGAGAAGGGCGCAGACGACAGTAGCTCTCGCTGCACCACTTTGAATTGATTTCTGGGACTGTCTTGTATGTAACTCCTTAGCTTAGCACGTCGTCGTACTCCATGGGAGGTCCCAGGGCGGTGGGCTTCGCCTGCTACCCGCCCGACGTTAATAAATACAACAACAACAACATACTGGCCAAAGGACGGAAAACAGCTCCCATTTTTGAGATTCACTCTGCAATAAGAATACCATTGACTGTATTGGCAAAGACTCAGAGTGTTAATCGTAATACGGGAGCCTCAATCCACAAACGTGAATATATCCACGAACTAAAGGAAACGAAATGCAAAGCTCCCAAAGCTCATAGCAGCAGCGTCCCACTCATTGCAGAAAAGACTACAACAGCAACGGCAAACAGCATCTGCCCGTCCATGGCCGGAATTTTCGCGCCAGAGTTCTTCTTGTGTGTAGCACTCGCGCTCGCTGTCGCCATCGGAGTCACAGTGCTCGACCCAGCACTTGCAGTCCCCAAGCTCTCATCATCCACGCTACCGGCCTCCTGGCTCCCGGCCCCTGCCAGACCCGGCCCAGTTCCAGCACCGCTACTCATGAACTTCTCTGCCGCACTTGGGATTGCCACCGGATCATTGTTCGCAACTTGCCAGTCCGCAGATTCCGTCGGGCAAGTGGTAGATGCTGACGTGGATGTTGCGCCTCCGTTACCAGAGGGGTTGGTAGCTGCTGCGTAAGCAGACGAAAGATACGAGAAGTCGGAGTTGGTGGAGATGGTGTCGCCGGAGATGGATACGAGGCCGTAGCCGTTCCCCTCTTCCGAGTACTCGTAGACAAGACCGCCGCTGAAGACGGCAGTCATGTTTGTAGAATAGAGGGTGGCTACTTCTTGGAAAGTGCGGCCGTTGGTGATGCAACCGTATTCGGACATACTGTATTCCGTTAATACAGTGCATGTTTTACGAGCGTGAAAGTGAAAAAAGATAAAAGAGATAATTTGCATGGAGACCTACAAAAGAGGGATGCCGAAGCCGGTGTAATGGGCCACTAAAGTATTCCATCCAGAGGTGGTGAAGGACGAAGGATCACACCAGGAATAATCGTTGATAGCATAAAAGTCGCTTCTCTGCTCAACGGTGCCGCAGTTCATATAGTTCGCCATAGCCTCCTGATTCTCTGTGACATCCGCCGCCGAGTAACCCACGGGAATAGCCCTGTATCCTCTGCTGCGAATATACTGCTTCATATCTCTCGTTACAGCCTTGACATACGGCGCACAGTTTGTGTTAGTCGCATTATTGATCACCTCGTTGCCAGACAAGAACGCGAGAGTATTGCTGTAATTGTGAAAGGCATCGATGGTAGCGAAGACGGACTGCAGGTACACGCTGTTGTAGCTCCTTTGGGGGTCTGCGCGATTCAAGGAGTACTTGGAAGTAGAAGCGTCAAGAATGAGATAGATTCCCGCAGCCGCTAGAGCATTCATGCAATCGTCGTGGTTCTTGGAGTTGTCGATTGCGTACACGCGGATGGTGTTAATGCCAAGCTTAGTGAAGTACGGAATGTCACGGTTGCAGTCTTTAATATTGGCGATAGGGTCCGACTCGACGCCTGCTCCTCCTCCTGAATATAAAAATAAGTTCAAGCGCAGGATAGGAGGGAGTGAGCATGCGGACCTGGTTGGTAGTCTACACCACGGATGTAGAACCGTTCTGAACCTTGATAGAATGCTAGACTTCCTGTTAGAACATTTCAAGCAGACTGATGTGAGGTTCATACCGTTCCCAGTCACTGTAATAGGGGTCAATGTGCTCGTTGTCCGCTCAGCTAGCACAGGAGAAGGCCCGGCAGCAACACCAGAAGCCAGAATTGAAGATGCGAGTCCACCGATCCCAATGAATGTCTTCATCTTGAGCGTGTGAAGTCTCTTGCTCAGTAAAGAGGAAGAAAGCAAAGAAGAAAGTCAAAGGAAGCTGTATAAAGAAGAACAGAGGGTGTGCAACACAGGTTCAGCCTGGTGAGTATAAGGAAGTAGCGAAAGTGATGCCAAGATCTCGTCTCTAGCCTGGCCGGCAACGCAACAGGAAGGAGCAAAACACGTCAAGATAGAAAGAAAGACCGAAGGAAGGGAGCATCCGCAATATGATGATCTAGTAGCGGCTTCTTCTTGAACGTAGAATTTGAGGTCGCTACCTTAGTTGAGGGCCTGAGAGAACATTGCGCGTCCTCGGCGTCGCATCCGGCAGTAGTAAACAGACTAGCGGGGAGCACCTGCCAAGAACCATAGAGGCGGATCAGGTGATGAGATGCACAGAGCTTTTTGAGGACGCCAGAGAAAGCAAGTCCCGGAGGATTGCTCCTGTAACTAGCGAGACTGATCGTCTTTACGATCGGATTGGCTCAAGTCCTTGGAAAGTTCCCAAAATCCCAATCTTCCAACTTCCAAGTCCACAATGGCAGCAGTCTGCCGCCAATCCTATATCAGAATTACATAAGTCAAGCGAGAGAAAATGCAGAGAGAGAGAAAAGGCCTCCGAGTTGTCCACACAGTGAACGCCTTGCTAGCTGGCACTCGCCTGTAGCTTCTAGCCTCTGAGTATCATGATGATTTACGGTACGAACAAGTTACACATTCTGTAAGTAACTGCACACACATACTGCAGATGCGAAAAGATAAGAAGATCTGATCCAAGCAGTCAGGGTATCAAGAGATCTCAATTTACCATTCCTCTCCTCTCCTATCCTCTCATCCTCTCCCATTGTTTTCTTTTTCCCTTTCTCAATGGTATCCAGCTAACTAGCTGAGCTCAGCCGAGCCAAGCCTAGACCAGACAAAGACAAAGACAAAAATAAAACGCCGATATCCATCCTTAATATGCGCAACGAATGTTACTCCCTCCCTCTCAGCTTTCCTCCTCGAAGTTCCATCCAGACTTGACCAGACCAAAGTAAAGTAAAGTATCAAGTTTTTCTTTCCTTTCCCTCAGTGACTGTCCGATATATCAAACGCCCCACCTGCCACCACCAGAGCCACCGCCTCGATTCACACCACCCCGTCTACGAGCGCTCGTTCCCCCGTCCAGGCCCTCGCCTTCACTATCGTCCATCTCTACCGAGACCTTCGTACCCAATGCCTCTTTGCCCTCGCGAATCATAGCCTTGAGCTGCGCATCCAGCCGCCTGATACTATCATCCGCCTCGCGATTCTCTCTCTGCTTCACAGCCGCCCAACGCTTGGCTTCTCGCGCAGCAGGACTCTCCAGGATGGGCGTGGCCGAGTTGTTGCGCACGGGACTGCACGATCCTGTTGCGCGGGGGATCTTGCTGCTGGAATGGGCCGGCGAGCGAGGAGAGGCGTAGGATGCGCCGCTGCCGGGTCGCAGCGCGGGTGAGCCGGCGTGGGAACCGCGGGAGTTGAAGAAGGTAGGCAGGCCAGATCGGCGGGCGGTGTGAGTCGTGTTACTGAATCCTGCGCGCGAAGCTGGGCGGAGATAAGAGGTGTTTGCTAAGGAGCGGCGGGGTGCTGAAGAGGTGGTTGACATGCTGAATCTCGACTGCCGTTGTGGAGACGGTGCTGGGAGTCTGGAAGGTGTGTTGACAGTCTCGGGCACCATGATCCAATTCTTAGCCAGATCTTCCTTGCCACTTACAGCACTCTCTTGATTCGCGCTGATTTGTCGGCGTTTGGCTGGGCGAGGAGGGGTGCGTTCAGTCTCCATTGAGGGGTCATCCATATAGTTCGGGAAGAACTCCAGCTCCTCTCTCGGGAACTGGCCAGGAAGCAGCGTGGACTCTTTTTGCCCATCGCCCTCTATCCAACCATCCTTCTCCTCCCAGATACTTGGCTCCATGGCTTCGAGAACGTCGTTCGCTCCGATGTTGTACCTCGTTCCTCCACCGGCTTGGAATCCTCGAAACACAGCCGCGCTGCTCTTGCAAAACTCCCACGCCTTGCCTACAACAGCGCCTGCAACCTGGAAAGCGGCTCTGCTCCAACCCTCACCACCCGAACTGTCACTGTGCTTCTGACCGTATCGTGGGCGTCCATTCACCTCTCGTCCAAAGTAATCGAGCCCGCCACCTTCCTGCTCGCCCCAAACCTCCCCCCGCGAGTTCAACGACGGCAGCTTCGAGTCCCCCAAGCTCTTCCGGTACCCAGCATCCGCATACTGATTTTGACTCGCCATCTCCGCCGCCTGTTGCGCCGCGCTCGGTGTATCCAGCCCGCCAGCCAGCGCATATCGTGTATTGACAAATGGCCTCGGGCTCCCCGGCATACATCCTCCTTCTTCTCGTACATTATCCCAGTCTTCGCCCCCTCCGCTGTAACCCGTCCTCGGCGTCTCCAAGCCAGAGTACTCCTCTCTCGTACGTTTGCGCTGCGTAGGTCGCGTCGGTCGGTCTCCCACCGACGAGATCGACATCACGCTCGACGTGCTCCGCGTCATGATCAGCGAAGAGGAAGCGGATGCACTGGGCGTGCGCGGCGGCTGGAAAATGTGGGATTTGGCGCCGGAGAGTCGTGGGGGTGCAGGCGCGGTGTGGAAGTCGAATGCGCCGGGCATTGCAGAAGACGAGTTGGCCATTGTAGTGGCGCTCATGGTCGGTGATGGTCCGACGGGCGGATTGTGTCGTGATGATTATGATTGATTTTGTGCAGTCCGCGATGCGCAATAAATGCAATGAGTGCAATCACACAAGCCGAGGCCACCAGGCTGACCGGCGAGGCTCTGCCAGTACCGAAGCTAGCTGCGGCAATCCAACGAGGACGGTAAGTAATTAAGATCGCGCCGCAAGGTCGCGACTAAGTTCGCAGTCTGTGGATTTGGAATCTTCGTGCAATATCACGGCGATGACAAACCGGTCGTTGTTAAATTCAAGAGCTCTTGCTTGGAGCTTACCTGAGGGGGTTTAGATAAGGAGATGGGGAGAGAGATGCGCTCGTGATGCTGGTTGCTTTGACAACGGATCCCCTATATCCAATCGTCTGTTTACGCTGACAGCGGGCTAAGCGCAGCCAGGGACGGGCCCTATCATGGAGGCTGCATACAACTCTCATCACAGCATGTAAGAACAGACAATACTTCCGATTGCTAGCTACCTTAGCACTCTCCCCGTCGTGATTCAACTCTAAAGCCCGTCAATCAACTTCGATGCAAAAAATCTCTCCCCAGTCTAATGGTATTTGGTATCCAGGCCACACCAGGCCAACTCCAGCTTCAATAAATAAATCATCGCCAAAGTCGTGAAGTAGAGCATCGGCGCAAATGCAACCCGCCCTCAAGCGCTACCACGCCCACTGCCACTGCCATCACGCCCCTATCTAAGAGCGCTTGGGCTCCGGCTTGGAGTAGTACTCAACCCTGCCTGGATGAACCTCGTCGGTCCTATCATGCTCATGCCTATGCGCCCTGTCGCCCCAAAAAAGCTCTCGCTCCTTGAGCAGCTCGTCACTCCACTCTCTAACCTCTGGCATGACCACCTTAGTCGCGACCCACGCGAACTCGCCCAGGTCCAGCTTGTGCTCGTGGACACGCTCGTATTCCATCATCTGCAGCAGAAGCTCGATCTTATCGACGTCGTGCACGAACTGGCTCTCGGGAGTCAGCGAGTCCTCGTACTCCTGCCAGATGGCCCGCATCTCTTCGCCCGGAATGCCTCCATTGACGCGACCGAGTAGGCTCTTGGTGAAGTAGTCCATGGTGGTACTCTCGCGGCGGCTCTTCTCGGGCTTCGCTACGCCGTCAACGGGGGTGATGTCGCCAACCAGGGCTTCGGCGATGTCGTGGACCAGGGCCATCTTGGTGCAGTGGGGAATGTTGAGCTTCGCAGTGAGGGAGGCTGGAGCGAGCATGGTCATGATGGACATGCGGTACATGTGGTCGGAGATGGACTCGCCTCTGGAGGGAAGGTTGGAGTTGGTGGTTAGTTTGTGATTTGAAGAGAAGAGGCTTGAAGAGGAGGAGGGGAGGAGAAAATGGGGAGGAACAAACGGACGTACTGGCTGATGCCGAATCGGCGCCATCCTTCCCGCTTGGTGGTCTTGAGACGCTCGAGGATGTGGAAGAAGGGGATGGGCGAGGTGGAATGGGTTGGGGGTGCTCCACCGGGGATCGATGCGACCACGGCCTCGACGGACCAAGCTAGTGCAGGTTGACCGGTGTCAGTATGCACTCAGTATCCAAGGGCTGTAGAGTGCATGCTCTTGGTCCAGCTCCTATCATCCACCGACTCACTGGCCTTGTTCAGCGCATCTGGCGCGCGCTCACCGTTGGTTGCCATGTTGGTGGTTTATTTGACCCCGCGGTGATGGAGATGGGGGATCTGAATCTTCAAGCCGCTTTCTGTCTGAGCGCAAGCAAACGTCGCTATTGTATTTGAATTGTGTGGTGAGTGGTGAGAGAGCGGACGAGCACAGGATCTACTCGAGGACGCCGATGGTGATGAGAGGTGGGAGGTTTGGTTTGAATTAAAGTAGTCGGGAAAGGTTTGCTCTGTTTTGCTTTCCTTTGCTTTGCTTTGCTTCTAACTTCTTGCTGTCAACTACTGACCGTATCTACCTACCCCTGTCCAAAGTCCCCGCCAAATGACGCACCGAGGTTGTACTTACGGAAATGTGGTTGGGATACAACAATTGACTGTTGTTTGTGAAAGTTATACCTATGTGAACATCAGGAGATCAGGAGATCAGAAGATCAGAAGATCAGAATATCAGAAAACCCTCGGTCTGCCCCTGATGCTGAAGGAGTTACTTCCCGTCGTCAAGGGCTTTTCCAATTGTTATGGTACGCACGCAACGCAAATGTCATTTCCTCCACCTTTTGAATCCCCTCCCTGGACCTTACATCTCTGTTATCATCAAGACAGACGCTGCTAATTCCGCTTAGAAACTATTATCCATACCAGTATCCGCTCTTCATCTCTTTAATTTATCATTGTCAAAACTAAGACTACATAGCCTCCCTACGCGTCTTATCTTATGCTCTAAGCGCAAGACCCCCTGTCATAATCCTATGATCTGTATGTTCTTCCTATCTCTCCCCGTATAGAATACGCAACAGATAGGCGTGATGCAGTCATATTCGGTGGTTTGTATGTGGCTTGAGGCTTTTGTAAATGTCTGTCTCACCTCGTTTGATCCAAATCTGGAAATCACCTTTCGCAATCCATATTTCAAGTTTTATAGATGTTCGAGAGCTTATGCATAGCCTAGAACTTCGCATTTTACAGTCAGAGACGATTGGCAGTCGAAGACTATCCGCACTGTTCAAGCCTTGAACATCTTACCGGGTATGAAGACCCCTGCTTCAACAGCAACAGCCTAAATTCCACCGATCAAATTTCTCGCTCACCAAAGAGTCCCCGACTGCCCAAGTCCTCGGCTATTGAAATTCTGGATAGCAAAAATCTTGTCGGCTGCTCGCTGCATGGCTGTTCCTGAGCTCGGTAAACATCAGTAACCGTATCCTTGTCGCCCAGAGACCAGGACCGTGGCTGAAAGCGGGTAAGGGATGGGGTTGGGAGCTGCCGAATGAAGGTGGGAGCGATGAGAGAAAAGAGATGTTGCAGTGACTTGATAGCAAAAGGGGCGTCGGGCTCTTGATTTATGTTATGGAGTAGGAGGGGAAGGAGGAGGCGGCGACGCCGTTACTGGTGAAGATAGTCGAGGGTGCTTTTGTTGTCTACAGCTTGAGTACGGAGGTAAGTCTTGCAGTCCTTTATCTTTCATCACCTGTCGTTTGGACAGAGTTGATTTGTTAATCTGTTGATATATTAATTTCTCGATTTGAAAGCTTAAATATTAGTGCAATCCCATGAGCATCACCCTGTGAAGCAAAAGAAGCGTCTCTTCAGCCCATGGGTCATCAGCTATCGATTTCGTTTCCACAAAGCGGTCGATCCCACCCCTCTCTAACCGCAAGTCTAGAGGGATGGTGAGGTCGGACCGACTGAACTAGGTAGTAGCTAGGGGTCGTGTACTTTGGGCTAGAGTGACGAAATCCCGCACAAACATACGCAAGCGTTCAAGCGATCAAGCGATCGAGATGGCAAGCAAGAAAGAAAGGGCGATCGATCTCCGTAAGCGTTCTCGTCGGTACGTAAACAAATACTTTAACAAACTTCAAACAAGAAAAGAGAAGAGAAGAGCAAACAGACAGACAGACAGAGATCAGCAGCAGCAGCAGTACCAGAATTGCATTATTCCCGCTATTTCTTCAAAGCGGCTGAGCATTCACCCCCTGGATCCAGGCACCCGCTAGGTATTGTTAGCGGATGCATCTGATACAGTGGTTGATGGAGTGACCCATGGCGATGGGTTGAGACGCTACTCCTGGCGGAGGGAACTCGTTGAGAATTAGTATTTGTAATCGTCGCCGATGGTATGCCCCCAAATAAACTTCATCTCAAGGTCAAAGGTCTTATCTTTGGGCTTATTTTAACTGTAGAAGTACCGGTATATCGTCGCGCTTCGATGCATGATTCATCCCATCTATTTGAAGCCTGAGCTTGGACTTCTTCATGAGTTGAATTGAGTTTCTCCCCCTGTGCCGCCCGTGGTCCGCTCGTCTGCACCCTCATTTTTACGACGTATTTTCTCCGATCAGAGAAGCCCGGATCAAAACCCGATTCTCATAATAGTAGCAAGAGTCAGGACGGACGGTTCGTCAGTTCATGCGCCCCTTTCCCCGAATTTGATTACGTTATTTCGTCATCTCGTTGTATGGGGTTGATTCTACTCGGAGGATGGCTTGCCAGAGAAGAGATTGAAGGACCTCTTTTTCCGCGCTCGGATCTGGCTCTAGATTTGATCATTGGACTTTGAAGCCGGCTCGAAAAAGCCTATCCGCACTGCCTATCCGATCCAGATCATACCGTCGTATTATATTCGCTGACTTTTCTTCTTCATGGTTCGTCAGGCTCGACAGCTCCATCTCTATTTCCATCTCCATCCAATACATATTTCCCAAAAGAGAGATATCGGGCAGCGTCGGTCACCTTCCAATACGTAAGGAGGAGTCTATAAATATTAGCTCCTTCCAAAAATAAGGCATAGCTTATCGCGTATGTTGCCCATGACCCATGTCGTCAGTCCCGAAAAAAAGGGGATTATGCGAAGCTGCACAGATCACATTTCCTTATTTTCCCCTTTCCCTCGAGCCTTTTTAGAACTTAAGGTACTACTTATCGATTTATCCTTGATCCTTGCCTCCCCCTATACCTCCTCTCCTTGTCCTTCCCCACATCCCCAGCACAGCCGCCAAGTCTGTAAATACCTCTTACAGCACTACAGTAGAAGTACTACTGATAGCTTGGCTCGCTTAGCACTCGGTTACGCAGATTGTCGATCGAGCTGGGCATGGCAGTCTGTTTACTCCGTATATCAGTGCCTTCTCTATCCATCACTGGACAAGAATGAGGCCGTCGTTGCGTCTCGGCCCTGCTTTTCGACGAGTGGACCATAAGAAACAGCCGCTGAATTCCATTCATTTATTCGTTCATTGATTCATTATCTTCAGAGCGTCTAACCTGACTGAGTCAGGAGATCCTATCTAGACGTTGAGCCCGCTCCCGAGGCGCAAGCAAGCCCCCAGCTGTAAATAGACTTCGCTATCCGGAGTTATTCCCCTGCAAGAAACTCAAATGGTATGGCCGACATAATTGTACCCTACCCGCCCTCCTCCTGCCCCTGGTCGCCATCTTCCAAACAGCAGGATACGGTTGTCAACGAGACAAAAAGGATCCGGCCGCGATTCTTTTGGCATTGCATCGGAGCTGCCATCCTCGTCACGATGATGCTGATAGTAGCCCTCGTCTGTGGACTCTACTTTGGACTTGGGCATTCTCGTTCCATTCCGAGACAAGCCGACTCGAGGTTGACGGTCGACCTTGGATATTCGCGATATGTCGGCGTAGATGCGGGAAGTGGTGTCACTCAGTGGTTGGGCATTCGCTATGCTCAACCCCCCGTGGGAGACTTGAGGTTCCGAGCGCCTCAAGATCCTCTCCCGGACGACGAGACGCACACAGCGAACGAGGTATGTGTTTGTCCCGTTCCAGCTCAGGCTCTGCAAACGATCCACTCATCCACTTTCTCTAGCATGGTGCTATATGCCACTTCTCGCCCTCGACAAGCCTCGATCCAAACCGTTCCGAAGACTGCCTCTTCCTGGATGTCTACGCTCCTTCCACCGGGCCTACGGGCAAGCACCCCGTGTTGGTATTCTTCCAGGGCGGTGGCTTCAATGGCCTCTCTGTCCCGAATTTGAGCGGCGTTAGTCTGATCAACGCGGGAAATCACGACATGGTCATCGTCACCTTCAACTATCGAGTCGGGCCCTGGGGATTTCTCGCCAGCAAGGAAGTCAAGGCCAACGGTCAGCTGAATAACGGCCTCCTAGATCAACGCAAGGTGCTAGAATGGATCCAGAAGTACATCCATCTGTTCGGAGGCGATCCGGGCCATGTGACGATGGGAGGTGGCTCTGCCGGTGCAGCTGCCGTTCTCATGCACATGTCTGCATATGGAGGCCGCAATGACAACCTCTTCCACGCCGTCGCGGCCAGTTCTCAGTCCTTCGGCGCGCAGCTCACAGTTGAAGAGTCCCAATACCAATACGACGCTCTCATCAAACGAGTCGGCTGCAGTACATCCGCCGATACGCTCAGCTGTTTGCGCGCCGTGCCCGTCAGGACCCTGGCAAGCAACAACCCCAACATTCCCGCTCCCAACGGTGGCGGCGGAAATCCCGCCTATATGTGGAATCCCTGTGTCGATGGAGACTTCATGCAAGGCACTATGTACAGTCTCTTCGCCCAAGGCAAATACGTGAAAGTGCCTAGCATCTTCGGAGACACCACTAACGAAGGGACCATCTTCACTCCCGCCTCGACAGCCACCGCCGCGGCCCGAAACACGTTCCTCAGAAACAACTTCCCGAAGCTGACCGCGGCCCACCTCACCCAGATCGACAGTCTGTACCCGCGCGCCGAGCAGTACCCTGGGAAAGGCGAGTTCTGGAAGTCGGCCGCGAACGCCTACGGTGAGATGCGCTACAGCTGTCCGGGCATCTACCTGTCCCGGCTCATCGCAGCCGCCGATACGCCCAGCTGGAACTACCGCTGGGACGTCCTGTCGCCGGCCAACGCACGCAGCGGCCTGGGCGTTACGCACAGTGCCGATGGCGCTGCCACCTGGGGATACGCCAGCGCGCCCGACAATGCCCTGACGCCCGTCATGCAGGCCTACTGGACCAGCTTCATCCGCACCTACGACCCAAACACGCACAAGCTGAGTACGGCCCCCGTCTGGGCCGGCGCGGGCGCCGTCTACCTGCAGAGGCTGCACATCCCGAACCAGCCCAGCGCGGTGGGCATGACGATGCCGCCGGAAGACCTGCTCGCGCGATGCAAGTATCTGACCAGCATTGGTGGGAGCATCGGGCAGTGAAGAGCAAGTTGTCTTTTTTGTATAAACAAAGAGTAATATAATCTCAAGAGAATCAACCACACTAATTAATATTAAGCGAGGAGATCAAGAGAAGGAAACGAAAACAGGGAATTCAAGAAGGAAGCGAAGGAAGCAGAGCAATACAATTGCACATACGAACGAATATAGGATAGGTTCAACGGTTACGGACAGGCGTCGCTCTTTTCTTCTTCTTTGGGGGAAAGGAGGCGGGATTTCTGGGAGTTATCTGGGGACCACAGTCACGGGTCCAGATTATCTGGGCTCACTCGCTCAGATCGGAGGTTGGTTTAGCGAGAACGAGAAGGAGAGGGAGCGAGGGAGCGAGCAGACCCTCCCTGCCGATTTTTTCCCCTGCTCGCATCATTCTTTTTATCTTTTTTTTTTTTCGTTTTTATCTTCTTCTTCTTGTACTACTACTTCTTCTTGTTCAAATTCTTCTTTTTCGCTGCCATTCTTGGGCAAGTGGGGTTGTATATTTGCATGTACAAATATATGTATATATATGTATAGGTACCTACCTACTTAGACATGTACTAGGCAGACAGCATCGTCGATTAGAGACGGAAGATGAGGATTAGGATTCCCGTTCTATAAAAGGACGGACGGGCATGCATGAAACATCCATGCATGAGAGAGTGGATAGATCAAAAGATAGCCATCTAAACATCCAATACCACAGACTCTCATCGAAAATTCCTTTTTTTTCTTCTTCCTTTTTCGCATCCAGTTTTCCAGCTTCGTTGACTTCGTGAGACAACGCCGTCTTGTCCTGAGTTCCCCTTACGTGTTTACACAATCAATAGCCAGCCCTGCCCTGCCCTGCTCAGCATCATGCCGTCTCGCCGCCCACCGTCCATGCCGAGAACGCATCCACCCACATCTTCTTCCCAGTCTTCCCTAAGCCTGCAAAATCGAACTCCCACCTTGACGCCGATGCAAGCTTACAAACGTCTATCAATCTTGCAAATTGTATAAAATAGCTAATGAAAGCTCTCGTACGACCGAATTTTTCGCTTTCGAATATACAAACCGCTTATCTTTTTACAATTTACGAATTGCGCTTCCTTTTCTTTTATTCGATAGATTTAATTATTTTCCTCGATTAGCTTACGGCAATCTGCTTTATACGTTATAATCGCGCGCTTTTTCTTTTTTTTTTTGCTACCTAGGTCTTTAAAATGACTATTACGAAGATATAAATACTCGGCTCGGTACGACACTACGAAGAAAGACGAAATACGTAGCTAAGACGCTTTGAAAAGGCTTTGGATCTGCAAGCGTAATAAAAGAAGTAACGTTTTATTTCGCGAACCCGACGACGATAGAGCGAAAAAGAAGAAATTGAAATAAGAAGAGCTAGTCGAAAAGGTATTTTAAAGGTTTTCGGATTCGTATATGCGTTAAAGCTTAGTCGAGTAAATTTTACTCGACTTAGGTACCTAGTCGAATAAAAGGCTCGATACTTTTTCTCGGATTCATTAAAGGAAAGCTTCGCCGAGCTTACTTGGAATCGAAGAAAAAGTATCGAAGTCTAGACTTTAATTAAAATTTACTTTCTCTTCGTATTATTTACCTCGCTCGTAAAAGAAAAGAGTTTTTATTCGTTTCCATTCGACACTCTTTTAAATTGCATTTTAAAGTATTATAAAATGATATTAAATCGATCTAAGAAAAGATTATAACTGCGTAAGGGGTGTTGTTGTTGTTGTTGCATTTATTAACGTCGGGCGGGTATCCAAAACGCAATGCTTGGACCTTGGGGACCTTCCATAGAGTACGGCGACGTGCTAAGTAGAGGAATTATATACAAAGTACTATCTAATCGAGAGTAAAAACCACGTTAGGGAAAACCTCTCGTTAAATAGCTGAACACTTGTAAACCCCCTAAAAGCAATTCATAGTGCTGTGCGTCGAGTTTTCTCTCGACAACTGTCGAATACGTGTGGCCCTACGGGCGGCCTCGATCCGTATAGTACAAACATCGTTCTCTTTCGTCGAAGAGCTAAGAAGGCTCGCGTTCTTAGCCCTTGGATAGAGCCGGTGTGTTTGCAGAACGCTCTTTCGAAGGCGCAATACCGTGTTTACTGCGTAAGGGTTTAGCGCTTGGAAAATCGATTTAATAGTTTGTATGTAAACTTTTAGCTTTGTACGTCTCCGTACCCTTTAAAAGGTCTTAAGACGAGGAGCGCATGCTACGCTTATAATCCGCTAGACGTCGATAAATACGATAATAAACAACAATTTCCAGTCTTCCTCCTCCTCCCGTGCTTCCTCCCCATCTCGACGATTACCGTTTCGCGTCCCGGCTGGATCCCTCGCCACCACTACCACTACTGCCACTGCTGCCACCCCGCGTTGGACAAATCTCTCGCCTCCTCCTCCTCCTCCGCTTTGCTACAACGCAGCAGATCATTCGTCTCGCTCGAGTAATCAGGCACAGGCGCTTCGCCAGATATAATAGGCAGGTACAAACGCGAGAAGGAGAAAGGGGCCATGTTCATCCATCCATCCAGCGTGTACACAAGCAGACTAGCGACTATTTCCCCAGGACGCTGTTGTTGCGGAACCTCAAGATATGCTTCGGCCATAGGCGGAGGCGGAGGCGGAAAGCGAAACGTCGAAGACATCCCATGGAAGCTATCGATAGAAGATGCCGTTGGCGTACGTAGGAGAGAGATCAAGCCTTGGCGACATGGTCGACAGGTCTGACATAGGAGCTGAAGATCTCGTGACGACTTACTTCACGTTGGGCCACTGTTGATGTCCTATAGATGGATGACAGGCATTTTGGATAGTTGCGTGTATCGAGCTGTCTATCGTGGAAGCGGGCAGAGAAAAGATGCAAAGAATGCACAAATTGACATGAAGAGATCAGACGAGAAACTCTAGATCTCTGTACTTGCTACTCCTTCATGAGTTGTTCACAGCGGACTAGTATTATTTCGAGGAGCTTTATATATTATGATATAGTTGATTTCGATTCTTACATCGCGGAATGGATGCCGTTCAACATAACACTCACTCTGCACGCAATGAACCGAACCGGTGCCCGACCTCGACCTACTAGAGAGAATCTGCGACTGTTGATTGGAGTCGCCGAGACAGGTAGAAGCGCGTTTCACCGACTGGCTGACCAGATGTGGAAAAGTCGTAGTCACATAGCAGAAGGATGAGGATGATCTGGATGATCTGGATCACCTGACGGCGCCAGGGAGGATTTCAGAAGCGGACGTGACGGGAGGGCTATTGATACTATCAGTCCTGTGTGTCTCAGAAATTGGCAGAGGAATCTCTGAAAATCTGAGGAAGAAGAGATGTAAAACGAGAATTCCACGCATATGGCTTGTGTAACATGCCATTCTGTCAGACTTATAAGGCCAGTGACATGTCACGGTATACGCGAGGCCGTGGCAAAGATCGAAGAAGAAAGGCTGGCTGAGCGCTATCAAGCATAGATGCGAGACAAGACGTAGGAAAGGTGAATCTAGAAACCACAGAAGTAAGCAAAAGGAAGACAGAATGCAAACAAACCACTTGATACCTTGTTGACTATTCCAATGTCAAGATCTATCAAGCCAATTAAGACATGAGGCCTGATATTGCTGGATGCTAAAGACCAAATCGTTGAGGTCATATTGCGAATGCTCTTATTTCCTTGGTGTCCGGGTCCGTGGTATATGATAGATAGTTCCCCTCAAGCTCCCTTGGCATACATAGCTTACTGCGCGCGCATCTCCTGAACTCCATACTACCGTAATGGATCCCAAACAAAGCCTTTAGCATGCCAGCCAGCCGTTCGTCAAGTCGTGTCAGTTCCGCAATCACTCACATCTAGTAACCTTCCTTCCAGATCTCCTTCCTATACCCCTCGGTCAACCTAGGATCCTCGCCATATTTCTCCTGCCAGCCCACGAAACCCCTATCCAGCACGTAGACCTTCTGCTCATTCTGCTCCGCTCCCTCTACATCCTCCCAATCCCCGTCTTTCTCTCCCTCTCCCTCTCCCTCTCCTTCCTTATCCTTATTTTTCTTCAGAACCTGGCCAACACCACTCCCGCGATCCAGGTTCGCAGCCAGGCCTAGCAGCCTGTCCCGTTCCCGGATGTATCTTAGAGCAGCAGAGGGGCCTCGTTGCTGGGAGAGGGCGCAGTGGAAGACGACTGTTTCCTTGTCTTTGAGCTTGCGGACTAGTTCGGGGATCTTGTGGTCGAGAGTGTTTGAGGGAGCGTGGATGGAGTGTTTGATGTGGCCGCCGATATGATCTGTGTCCTGTCAGCGACGTTCAGATCAACAGGTTGAATGAGACGGCAGACCATCATCTCGGACATCGACGATGGCGATAGTGGATGGAGGGGTAGCAGCGTCGACGTTGGATGTTGCTGTGGAGAGAATTATCTTGGAGAGGTCGGTAGAGGAGAGCCGAGGGAGATTAGCAACGGAGTGCATAGACATCTTGCGCATCAGTTACTTTGGGTAGGGTTGTGTTGCGATGCTGAGATTTGAGATGTCTGATATTATTGTTGTTGCTATCGTTGTCGCTAAAGATTCAGAAGCTTGGACTTCGTGGCTTGGCGAGAAGACTATATCAACATATCATGCCCTTCCATTGACAACACCCTACCTTAGAATATGCGCTACAACCACCTTTCTTCGCTTTAAATTATTCTATAGAGACAAGCCCTCCGTTAGCTATCCTACTCCGATGGTCAACAGGCCGTTGTTGAACATACCTTGATATACACTCTATACATATGTATATATGTGCACATGTGATGCCCAGTAGCAGAAGAGGTCCAGCATCTTGTCTTACATGCGCTATCAGCCCTCCGGAAAACGTCATTGCAAGTACATTTATTCGAACCTCAAAAAAAAAATCTTCAAGTTTATCTAACCCGCGATAGGTGATGGCGCTGAGCTCTGCTTCAACTGCCTAAAATCCCGCGCTCATTACGAGCGAATATGAGGCCGATGCAAAGCTTATGGCGGTACAATAGAGTCTCAAAGACTCTGTGCTCATCAGACGGTACGACCACCAAGCCGCAATGCGGAGTCTGTTCCGCTAGTAGAGACCTCTCAGTCTCTGGCAGCTCCTAATCAACGAGATACAAGTCTTATTTATCTGTTGAAAACATGCCTCCTTTACATCCTCATTCAAACTTTCAAAAGAAAAAATTCCCTATGCCTTTTTCAACGAGATACACACAATCACCATGGGCAGACTGGGTGGTCTTCTACATCAGTGTGCCGCAGCAAGCATCGCTACGTGCGCTTTCCTAGCTATCGGGCTACCATACGAGCGAGTGTATGAGTAACATTAGCATCGAGGTACCTCGATCAATCCATTTCATAGCCAACCTTGGTGCAAGCTAGGCAGCTCGGTCACCGAAGAACCCTTCCTCACTGTACCAAAGTGGGTGGTCCATATCTCTTCTTACAGTGACAAAACCGCAACTGTTCATTCTCAAGCACAGATCAGGCTGTATCCCCGCCACGAACTAGATCTTCTACTTTATTCTTGCGATGACGCTTTTTCTTTCGTGTGCCAACATTGGATAGAGGTTATATTTGCTGTTTGTAATTCGAAATTTATTGCGACGTTTTCTTAGGGAGGGGAGGGGGGGTTGCTATTTTGGGGAGCCCAGAAACGCAGTTCAAGGAGCCGGGTGGT